GCAACACCATCTAGTTTCAGTGTTCTTGATATCATACGTCCTAATCTTGGACAGAGCTTAAAACACCTCAAAAACACGTGTTTTACTCGAAAAGCACGGGCCTGTATTGTGTTACACTCTCTCTCTCTATATATATATATACACACATATATATACATACATATATATATATTTATATATCACTTTCTGTGTCTTTCTGTACATGTGTGTGTGCAGATGCATCTACATATATATATATATACACATGTGTGTGAGAGTGTGTATATATATATACATACATATATATATATATAGAATTTATATGTAGAGATACACATATGTGTACATATAATATGCTGGGTCTTGTTCAACTTTTATCTGAACCCTCCTTGCTTTCTTTCTGCCGCCTCTCTCTCTGTCTCTTTATGGGCTCTGGCATTGTGCCGTAAGGATTGTCTTTATCCAGGCCAGGCGTAACAAAGTCAACACAATGACCCACATCTACCCCTGAGGTTTATACCAGGCCAACACCAGGATCGCTACTCCCCGAACCAATAAGGGTTACAGTTGAGGGCCGTATCTACGCGATGGTGTCAAGTTGCAATCAGATTCGGCTAATGTTCCGGGGCCAGGGTCACCGTTCATGATATTCCTGGAGTTGAGTCTTATGTTTGCATTGCGGGTGCTGTTGTTGTTTTTTTGGTGTGGAGGGGAAGGGCACTGTTGAGGGTAATGTCAGCCGCCATTGGGATCAATATCCCGACCAAGGTGTTAGGGTTGACATTGTGTAGAATTGGGGGTCACTTCAATTTCACGGTAATTCTTAAGGTTCCCAGTGCGGCTGAGCTTTATTACTAGGGTCCGACTGCAAACATTAGAGTGCCATTGAAGTGAATATGGGGGTGATGTTGGGCTAGGGGAATACACATCGGCCGTAGTGAATAATGCCATGACGGTGAACGTGGGCAGTGAGTAGTGAATGATGCTATGACGGCGAATATGGGTATTGATAAATTTCATGTTAGGTCTCCTCGCAGTACTTCAAGGTTGAAAAAGCTTGTTGAAGCCAATTCTAGGATTCTAGGGTTGCAATTAGGTTTGCTTTCCAGGTAGCATGCGGTGCTTTTATTGAGGTAAATCGTAGGGTTACAGCTGAAGAAATATGTCTTATTTCTCAGTCAGATGCGAGTGGCCTCCATAAGGCTTCAATATCCATACTTTGCGGGGTGAGTATGGGCCTTTTCCATGCTGTGTTAAGCGGGTCGGATGATATCAACTCAGACTAGTCTTGAGCTTCATTTCGACTCTAGAGGAGTCTGCTGTCATGCTGACACTCATCGTAAGGTGAATATGAGCAGCCGCGTCAGTCTTAGGTCTATCAATTACGACCACTTCTGCGACTCCTAGGAATACTATTGGGGCAGCCTTTTTCCAGCCGTTCGTCGTGGATTTGATTTGCATGCAACTCTAGAAGGAAAGCCTATCATGCTGGCACTGAAAATCAAAAGCCGAGTCACTCTTAGGTCTATTGTTGCGACTATCACTGCTAGGAATAATGTTGCTGCCAGTCTACCTTCACATGACACTCATGATGAAAGGCCTGGTGCTTAGCACGATAATTCTGCATGGGTGGGTTGAAATGAACATGAGTCAGAGGGCTGAGTTCATTGCGAAGTACTAGCGTGAAGCACTTTGACGTTCATTCCGGAGTTTCGAAGTTCAATCCCGGGTTTTGAACTGCAAAACTCACGGATCCAAGTTCAAGACCCTGGGGAAACTTTTCCGGAGATCTTGAATCTTGGCTTGTTATTGCATCCTCAGGACTGAAAGAGCATGGGCTTATTCACTGAAACCGCCTGCCTCCCGTCCCCATTGCCCCGGAAACCTAAGCCCTGAACCAGCCTGGAGCCTGCCTGTAGCCCCCCTCTCTTCCTGTTGGGCTTTAAAACCTTGAAGCCCACCCAAAACGGTAGACAACTGAGGGGATGCCATTTACAATAAATAAATATATATATATATATATATTTTATTTATTTATTTATTTATATTTTTATATTTATATTTATTTATATTTATATTTATATTTATATTTATATTTATATATATATATATATATATCTCTCTCTCTCTCTCTATCGGTATTAATATATATATATATATGTATATATATATATCGAGACATTCACTTGTATAGAGAGATTGACCCAACGTCACTGGTCGCGGAGTTGGGATGTTCGTAGGCGGTCTCATCATCTTCACCAGTCCAGTTCTCCACAATAAACCATGCGAAACGACACATTTCAATGTGTCGCAGGATACAGTTACAACGTCGCAGACACGCAAACACCTTCGCAAGCCGGGCACCGGGCGCTTCCTCGCTTCGAAGTCTAAAAGTTCCTCGAGAAGGTGGCGCCTGAGGTAAGAGAAATAATACAGGCTTAGATGCGGGCTTTGGCTTCGAGGCGACTTGAGCTACGGCGTCCAGGATGTTACGGGGTTCCTTTGCTGTAGAGTGCTTCGACATCTGTTTTCCCCTCGTTCCCACATTTCGGGCCGATCCTGGTGACGAACAATCCCATGCGCTACATCGCCCACGCCTTCACGTGTAACCTTTTGTAGTACAACGCAGCCCGCAAGAGCACGGATGCTGAGGCCAATACAATCTATAGGCCCTCGGCCGTGATTTTGGTCAGTCCGCGACCCAGAACCCCACAATTCGGGTGAAAGTTGTGATGTCGGTTATCAGGTGACGATGACGCCGCTGTGGGGGTGCTCGGTGAGCGGCGGTAGCCACTGTTGCCAGAAATGCCATGATTCATTCTTTCACTTTGATACCTATAATTTCTAGCCTTGCTGGCCGCCCATTTAGGAGAGTTCATGGCCAACAGTTTGGGAAGTGCGCTTGTCTAAGGACAGCGCTTCCGCAGCCAGTTCACGTAGGTTGGCATGCCTTCCTTCGCGACAAGCCGCTGGCTTACAAGCATCTGCTAGGATCTGCTAGGCAAACGGGGCTTGCACACAAGCCTCGAGGCATGCATCTCCCCGATTCGGCTTCAGACCCAGCTTCCACATTCGTGTCGGGCAGGATCTCAAGCCCCGGGTTGCAAAGACTGTTCAAACAAACTAAATAAACTCTCTTGGCATAACTTGCTTCAGTAGATCTTGTTTCCCCAATAGACAGGACAATTCCTTGCGCTGGCAAGCAGATCAACACCTCACCACTTGTGCTAGGTTCAACCGCAACCAAACCAGTTCCTGAGAAACGCCATAAGTGAGGTAAACATTATCTGTATCCCTGTACATACAGACATACATACATGCATACCTACATACCTATATAGATGCATGCATACATCACATTATTACTACATTATACATACATATGTACAAAGATGCAGACACAAAAACAGACAGACAGACAGACAGACAGACAGACAGACAAAGACAGGCAGAGACAGACATAATTTACACGCATATGCATACATACATGCACGTAAGTTCATGTACACGTACAAATACACATTGTGCATATGTTCACATGTACACACGTAGACAATCTGGACATAATATACATACGTACAGGCATACGTGCATACCAGGTTACCAACCTACCTTACCTACATACATTCCTACATAGCTATACTTTCTATTCCCTACATACGTACTACGTACATACATACATACGCAAATGTATGATCTGACGGTTGCCCCCAAATCCGCCCACAGCAAACCTCCTAGCGGTCGCACCTTGCGGCTGCTACAGCGCTGTAGGAAAAGAAAAGCATGCCTTCCAGCGAGCTGTGAGCTTTCGGCGCCCATGACCCCGGTTCCAGACTTGTTGCATACCAAAGCACGTGCCGAAGTTGGGCCTCGGTTCTCATCACTTTCAGATCGGTTCAAGACAGTTTTGGGGGCTGGAGGGTTGCTCATCTGAAGAAGCAGATTGCTGCACAAGCGCGGTCAGAAAACAAACTTCGTTCTGACCAAGTTCATTCTGAGCTTCATGGCCGTGGCCGGTCCAACATTCACTTTTTAAATGCAAGCGCTGCAGAAAATGCTACCGTTGCGGCTGAACCCGGCCGGGCGGCATACTGACGAGCTGCAGAGACCCTCCAATGTACCTGACGCATCTCTCTGACGATAGACTCTTGATTCGATGCTTCTAGCTTGTGGCTCATGCAGCGCTCAGGGGTTGTTGTTTTGCCACTCCTTCTCGAGAGTACGAGGCGGCGATCGAGCCTAGTCTCAGAACTCTGCTGAAGCTGCTGCCTTCAGCGAGAGTGCACCAAGTCTTCCTCACCAGCATCTGATTGAACCTCAGCCCGTGCGGTGGGGGAGGCTTCGGGCGAGGTCCACAAAAAGGGCCAGCCCCGCCAGTGAGGCCAGTCTTCACTCGGCGCAAAGCGTCCGAAGGTACTTTCGAAGCCAAATGTTCTGGAGCTGTGGTGCCCCACGCTTCCCAGCAGGTAGAGGGCCTGATCGTGTCGGCCTTGCTGGGCAAGCGTGATCGGGGTCTCGTCATGGATGTCTGCGGCCTTCGGGTCCGCTCTTGCCTGCAAAAGAACACGTAGTGCCTTCACATGGCCTCCTTGGGCTGCATAATGTATCGGAGCACGATGATCCTTCGAGGTCTCAGCAGCAGTCGTCAGGTTTGCCCGAGCCTCGAACAGAAGGTGCAGCACAGTTTCGTAGCCTTTGCGTGCAGATATGGAGGCAGCCGTCCAGCCATCCCTGTCTGTGGCTTCCAGATCCACCCCGGCCTCCAGCAAAACACGCATTGCCTTCACATGGCCAGCTTGGGCAGCAAAATGTATTGGTGAACGGCCGCTCTTCGCAGTCTCAATGGGCGTGGTCAGGTTCGCCCGGGCCTCCAACAGAAAGCGCAACACGGTTTCGTAGCCGGAGTCCGCAGAGAAGGAGGCAGCTCTTCTGTCCTTGTATTTGGGCTCAATCTTGGCCTCCTGCAGAATCGCACTGGTCAGGTTCGCCCGAGCCTCGCAAAGAAGGCGCAGCGCTTCTTTGCAGTTCTTGTGCGCGAAGAGGGACACTGCCGTCCAGCCCCTCTTGTCTGCGGCGTCCAGGTCAACCTTAGGCTTTGCCTTCAGGACCAACTCCAGGACCTCCACATTCCCTCCACGCGCGGCTGCATGGGCCAGAGTCCCCCCTGCGTGCGTCTTCGCGTACGAGTCGGCGCCAGCGTGCAGCAGAAACTTGAAAACGTCTGTGTGGCCAAACCTAGCGGCCTCGTAGGCAGGTGTGTGGCCATCTCTGTTGGGTGCATCGAGCTCCGCCCGGGCCTCGTGTAACACTTTCAAGGCGTCGAGTAATCCAGTCTTTGCTGCCACGAAGGCCACCGTGCGGCCCGTACTGTCGGATGCCTTGAGAAGGAGCTGCAAGGCTTCCACGTGACCGAAAGTCGCTGCAAGCAAGGCCGGCGTTTGCTTTTCCACGTCGGCGCTGGAGAGCGGCACTCCGACCTTCTGCAGAAGCTTCAGCACGCTGATGCGGCCCGCTTTTGCGGCCCAATGGGCCGGGGTTTGCTTGCTCTTGTTCTGAGCACCCAGCTTCTGGGCCTCCCCTTCCTGCAGTGCCAGCAGACTCAGAGCCTCCACATGGCCACCCTGGGCTGCGTAGTGCACCGGTGTGTTGCCTTCCTTGTCGAGGGCATTCAAGTCCTCTTTCTTTGCCTTCAGCAGTTTTAGCACCTCAATGTGGCCAGACGCTGCGGCATGGTGTGCAGCGGTGCATCCATTCTTGTCCACAGCGCTCAGGGTCATGTCCTTGTCCTCGGCAAAGACTTTCAGCACCTCCACCATACCAGACCTGGCAGCATGGTGGATGGGGAGAAGTCCATCGTCATCCATTTCGTCAACAGCCAGGTTCTGGCTGAGCAAGTAGCCAAATATGGCCACCTCGCCGCTGCAGGCAGCTTCATGCGCAGCTTGCGCGTGCGAAGGTGGCCCGCTGCGTTCACCGTTTCCGGATTGTGCACTTTGATGCTCAGTCTCAGTCTCGGCAATCGCATCGGCCAAGAACCTTTTCACGCTGCGCAAGTTCCCCAAACGCACGGATACATGCAGGGGGCCACTCCGGAGACCCTGTGCTACGGGGAAGAGGCACTGGCCGCGACAGAGAAGTGCTTCCCAGATCACAGCACCCAGCACCATGGCGAGGGCGAAAGCCAAAGCCGCGGTGGCCATGGCTTCTAATGCGGGGCGCAAAACGAGCGGACAGACACCGTTTGGGGCGACACTGCCGTACTTTACAGCGACGGCTGCCACCGTTCCGGTGGTGGCGATGCTGCGGCCCAGCAGCACCACGCGTTGCAGCCGCAGCTGTCTTCGTAGTAGCGCTTGCTTGAAGCATGGCCACGGCACCGTCACGAAGGTGAGGAGCATTTCCATCATCTCCTGCGGCTGGCACAGATCCTCCCAGGTCTTGTGGAACATGGCTTTATAGATCAGCACGCAGGCCGCAGCCTCAAGCAGCATCCAGATGGGCAGCAGGGGTTGTTGGATGCCGTGCTTCGAGGCATCCACTGGCCGCAGGGCCATGCCAAGCAGAGCCCACCCACAGATTCGGGCGCCAACGTCGGCACAGCGCCAGGCCAGTAGGACAGGTGCAGGTGCCACACACTTCTCTGTCTTGTCGTCCGCGCAGAGATATCGGTAGCCCTTGTTGGCGGCATCCGACATTGAACATAGCGATATGGCCAGAGATATCAGGAGAATCGTCAAGTGGCCTTTTCGCGATGCCCCTTGCACGGCGAGCGCATATGCCTGCAGTACTGCGCTAGGCACACTTTCGGCAAGATTCGCCAGCACTTTCTCGCGCACCAGCTCTCTCGTCTCCTCACCCTGCATGAAGCTGGTGTAAGCCACTTTGACCGGCTGCACTTGCAAGATGTAGAGCAGGAGCTCCCACGGGCCCGGCCGTGGCTCCCCTCTCTCGTTGCGAAGCTGGCTGAAGTTCACTTCGTCTTCGAATTCTGCCAGTTTCCAGCTATTTCGCGCCTGGAGGAAGCCGACAACGCCAGATCCGAGCGTGATGGCGACGAGGAGCCCTCCAAAGACAAAAAGGCCATTGCGGCAGTACGTCACAGCTACATAGATGTCTGAGAAAACATCGGCGACCCAAAGAACTCCAGTCAATGCAATGCGAGCTTTGGTTTGCCACTTTCCTAAGATCTCTTTGAAGGATGCATCCGGGACCAGCGCAGGATCACTGCATGCAAGCAGCTCGTACTCCCATTCTCGCACCTGGGGGCCACTCAGGTATGCATGTGCTTTAGATGCCATCGCTGCAACGACGGCTATGCACACGAGACCACCAGCTCCGACCCAAGGTGTCTCCAAAAAGGCTCACCTGGCACCTTCGAGGATCGGCACCAGGCACAAGACCGCAAGGTGCAGACACCGCATAATCTCTTTCAGAAGGCATGGCCGCAGCTTCTCAAGCAGGGAGTTGGACGTGCCCGACTCGCGGAGACCAAAAGAACTCCGGTGCTCCGAACAAGGGAACTGTTCCAGCGGATACCATGCAGTGCTCCAGAGCCAGAGGAAAGCAGCAGCTGCCATCACGGTGACCTTCTGCCCTGCCATTGCGGCAAGGGCAGCTTGGAGCTGCAGTCACGGCTCAACACTTTTGGAACAAAGCCCGTAATCGTGGCACTACCGGGAGTAAACGAAGCAGGCCATAACTTTATGGCTGATAGCCTGTTGCTATGCGTGGACATCCTGGCCTCTGCTGGGCAATACGTGCGAGATTCACTTTGTTCCGATCCCCGAACCCTCTAAGCTCAAAGCTTTTCAGACACCGCTTAGCCTTGGTCGTAAAGCCCTTCTTACCTTGAAACTCGAAAGCTGATCTGCGAACTTTGCGCAGATTATGGCCAAGGCCTCGAGCCCTAGCCGCTTTGCAGGTCCAAGCTCAGCATGCATACCCCAAACTTCTTCTTTTTTGCCGGTATTCCTTCATCATGCCTTCACCGACTGCGCAGAGCCGGCATCCCCGGGGCACTCGGCATAGAGCCGGGACAAAGGTAAGCCCACTCCAAACCCCGCAAGCGGCGTGGCCTGTCAGTTGGGGAGGGAGATCAGGGAGTTGGGCGGAGATGGGTGGAATTGCACAAGACTGAAGCATACTGACATACTGAGGAAGTTTTGGCTGCGTAGCCTTGGACTTGGACTGATGGTGGAGCCAACGCCAGCCGCCAAGCTTACTTACCGGCAGGATGGGCAATTTGCAATCAGGATCGGAACGAAAGGCCCCATCCCAACCAGGCAGGCGTGCAGAGCTCGACAAGTTGCTCGTCTAGGGAGTCTAGGGACTCTAGAGTGACGCTAGATTTGAGGGAACTTCTTCGTCGGCCTGTGATGCAGAAGCTCAGCGTAAACGCGGTGCCCAGTGCCTCCTCGTCGCTTTCAGCACCGGGGGGCAAGGTCCTGGACAAATTCCCGGATTCCCGGAACAAGGCTCCCGGACCCTTGGGAGTCGAAAGCCGAACCTCTGGCGTCCTCCTGGTGGAGTACATGTAGCTCCAGATCTTCTGCTGCTGCCTGTGGCATCGAAGACCAGGCACCACAGATCAGGCGAGCTTTTGAAGTTAAGCAAACGATGCTACGGGGAGGGGTGGGGTTTCGCAGATAAGAGCCCTGGCCAAGCATCCCACATAATCCGTACAAGCCAAAAGTTTCCCACGGTGCACGTGGCAGGTCGAACACAAATGGTCTTTGACATGGCGCCCCGATGAATTTCACACGGTGTCTTCCACAAGTTCCAGCTGCACGACCACGTAGCACGAACCCGCCGAGCTCTTGCAGGCGGGTCGCACAAAGGGAATGCCACCACCACGATCGAAAATGTCAAGCCTCCGCGGGACTGTAGGGGTGGTGCTCATGGCTTCCAAAATTCTTTTCCTGAAACCATGAGGCGGTCTGCTGGATGCAGCCTGTACACGTATAGGCAGAGTACGGATGTGTGACGACGGATACTGAACCCGATGTCAGCGCTTTGCGACCATCAGTGACTCAGCATTTGGGCACCGGCACTATTTGAGTTTCATCGCTTGCCACTCGAATCACGATGGGAACCACCCTGGCTCTGGCTTTCGGCGATGGGACGGAGTTTGCTCGGGTGTTGGGGTCTCGGGCCTAGAACCTAGAATCTAGACCCTCAGAATCTCGCAACTTCTCACAGCCTCTTGAGCTGACTCTATCTTTCAGTTAACAAATCACAGATCTACCCAAAAAAGAAGAGCCCCTGAACCTTAAACACGGCGTCCCACGGGGTGTCTGCCGACTTCGTGGTCTTGTGGTGCTCCGCAACGGCCCGGAAGCCTCGTTGGTGAAAATGCCAGAACTGCCTACCCGCGCACCCGCTTCCGCTCCCGTCCGCTTCCATTCACATCGCTCACAGGGCTTGAGGGACCGAGGCGTCAACCTCCCCGCTGCAGACCGTGCGGGCAATAGTGCTTGGGCCGGGGACGACAACGAAGTGACCCCTCTCTCGCGCATGCAATTGTCGTTCACTGCGTCCGGCGATAGGGCACATAACCCTCACAAATGTTGCGACTTCGAAAACTTCGCTTGCAGGTACATCGCCGTCACAGTCCAAAGCACGGTGCTTCCACTCTCTCTGGGGCCACCTGCTGTTTTTCAGCAGCTCCAGAAGTATGTACATCCTCGGCGGACGGCTCCAGCCCCGTGAATGCCACGTGCACACAACTAAGGGCGCCACAAATAAGAAGGCACGAGCGGAATGGTGCGGACCTCGGTTGCGAAACGGAAGCTTGTAAGATTGAGAGGCGTCGTCCTGCGGCCTGGTATAGGAGTATATAGGAAGCTTTGTCATGTTTTGGTGACACGGAGTCAACATGTCTTTGCAGGAGTAGCGGCTTGGCACCGCAAAGTGATTGTCGAATCGAAGGGCTTGAAAAGTCAGACAGTCCCACACCTGTCGTGCTCAGTGTACTCTGCGTCCCTCCCTGGCTTGGGATGATAAACGAGGTCTTAGTTGCTTCTCTTTCGCGCTGTATGCCTGCAAGCTGAACGCCGCGACATCGCGAAAGTCGGATGAAAGTCACAAAAGGGGAACCATATCATATAGGAAACCTACAACGGCGGAGAAGAACCGACACATCTCTGAAAGAAATGAAACGGACTCCCTCTCCGACGGCCACTGCATTAAAAAATGCCTGAAGTTCAGTGGTGCTGTTTTCTAGCATAACGCATATGTTACACCCATCGTTGCTGGAAAAACTATACTGTATTTTAAATGAGATGATATCGTGTATCACCTTAAATCGTAGCATATGATACGAAATGCTACATGTATTATGGTTAAACATTCCATCCTATACCAATTTACCTTATCTTATATTTCATTCCACTACATTATATATATTATATATATATACACATACATACATACATACATACATACATACATACATACATATGTGTGTGTATGTGCATGTGTGTATATATATAGTACTGTATCACATCATATCATAACATATCATATCATATCATAAGATACTATATCATATCACATTCTGTTATATCACATTAAAAAAGTATTGTGTTATATTGTGTTACTTTAGAAAAGATTATTAAACAATAGTTTTCTATGTTAAATTATATGATCATGATATGATATGAGGTCGCGCCATACCCTTCCACCATGTTTCATATGCGACCTTATAATATTACATATTACACTGTATCCGCTTATTTGCTACATTCCCCATGTTATATTATACCATACTATGTCATAAAATCTGCATTACATTATGTTCTTTTTATGCTATGTTCTGTTATGTTGTTGCAGTAATTGTTACAGACTTACCACTTCAGATTTGTCC